GGGGGCCTTTTTGTAAGGGTGCCGTAGTATTTTTGGTGACCTTTTAAAGGCACCCTAATGTAGAGAACTAGCAACCTGGCATCCAGCTGGCTTTTCGTGGCTTCTCAGACCCCCGGGCTGGGGGTACGTGATGTCTTCACAGAACAAACACACATAAACAACACTATTAAATAGAAACTACTAGATATAAGACAGAAAACCCTACCAGCAAGAGACTCTACCACTAAACAATAAGATGCTCAAAAGCGCCTATGAGAACGCCAAAAGCCAACAAACATGCTGGGGTGTTAAAATTAAGGCGCTTGTCCCACTTGACCTAGTCTGACCGGCAAAGGATTCCTGCTATTTGCCCCACGGGCCCTTACTTGTACAAGATTGCATGCCCACCATTGTGTTTGGGGTGGTTGGGCGCTGGAAAGCGGGCCGAGGGGCACGCGGGGCAAGTGGCACAGTTCCCGTAGTTGGTTCTTTTAGAATCATAGGCAACCCTAAACCCTAAACTCTACAACCCTAAACCCTAAACCAACATGATGCCTCTCTTCCCGGGCGACCGATGGGGGCAAGTGGGACGAGCGCAATAAGTGGATCGAGCTGATGCACGCAACGCAACAAAAACGGACAACAGACATGTCTTGGGCGGCTTCAGGTGTTTAAGGTTTCAGGCTCTAGGGTTTGGGGTCGGTACATCGCCTCGTCCGGTAGGCTGCCGGGCGGATCGTCCACAATCAGCGCCAATGCGGCCGCACCACCCACTTGCAAGGCCGAGGAGCCGTGGCGGTGCGGGTGGATCCAGTTGGTACCGGGCATGTGGTACTGAGGCAGCACCGTCTCGTACTGAAACTCTCCACCAGGTCCTACAACCAGCTTTGTGTCATCTGAGGGTAGATCTCCGGGGACATGGAGGCCGTGAAAGTGCAAGTTGGACTCATCCACATACCCAAACTCATTGTGCTGCCTCCTTGCATTCGGCTGCGCCGGAAGAAGGTTCCGGAACAGGACTCGTAGGCGATCTCCCGCCTTTATGCGGAGGGTCGGCCCTGGGAGGGTTCCATTCAAAGTGAAGATCCCCAACTCCATCGAGTTGATCACCACCCAGGCAGGCTCCAGAGTTAGGACCACGTCCAGCAGACCGCCCGAAGAGCTCACGCTGCTTGGCACCCTCATTGACAAGGAAAAAGAAGGGAAGGCAGCCGCGAGTCCTCTTTGGGCCACCTTGAGCCCAGACCTCAAGAACATGACACGGTTGATGATATAAATCCTGCATTACCCATAATAAGAAACGTACCATACATTCCCACAGCTTAAGGGTTCTTAAGGTAATTTCTTAGGATTTAGATATCATCAACCAAGGCCGAAGGCTCTGAGCGGGCTCCTCAGGTCTCCTCTCCGGGCCTCCTCTCCCTGGTTCTTAGAAGGGAATGGGGGAATGGATCCCAAGCCCCCACTTGGAGGTTCATGGGTAGTTATAAGTATGGTTATAAGTCCCCTAATATGGGCTATAACTACAGATACCCTACCTATAACCCCACCTATAACGGCTGGTTCTTGTAGGGAATGGGGGATGGATCCCTATGACAGTCCTATTAAGGTCCCCTCTGGTAGTCCCAATAACCCATTCCCCCATTCCCTACTAGGAACCAGTCAGTCTTTGTGGCACTTCCGCTCGGTAGCTCGGAGGCTCACCCTGAACCCTACCTTCATCTACCCAAACCCCACACTTCCTTGTAGGTTCTTGCTATGAACCCGAATAAAGACTTTATAGGGACCCCCACAAAATAATTGGGTTTTGGTAGGTTAAGTAAACCCGAAAACCCGGGCACTGGGGCTCCCAGCGGCGACTTCACCGCTGCGGGGAGCTTTTGGGCCTAGGCTTCAAGGGTTTAGTAGGGTTCAGAAGGGTTCAGTAGGGTTTAATAGGGTTTAGTAGGGTTTGGGGTTTCGGGTTTAGGGCTTAGGGTTCAGGGTTTCTGGGGGGGGGTGGGGTGCACTGTACTCCAGGTGCGCTGCGCATGTTTCGAGGCTTTAGGGCTTGCAGGTTCAGGGCTTCGGGGTTTTGGGATTGGGTGTTTAGGGCTTAGGGTTTAGGGTTACCCACCCTGTAATGCGTTCGGCTTCAGGGACTGGTTAAATTGGCACAGGGCTTGCTAGAGGTTTGGCCACTCCAACCCTCAAGCCGGACGTTTTCCACTGGTTCATATGATGCCGTAGCACGATGAGGGTTACTAAAATACTACCAGGTTGCTTTGCTGCTACAGTGCGATAGAGCTTGCTGTAATTCTGTAATACCATAGGTGTGCATTCTGAAAAGATTTGGCATCAATGGTAAGGGACAAACCCAGTGCTCTATGTGCTGCAGCCATAATTTCCCCCAGGCGGCGGTCTCAGAACGAACGGTGTTTGCGAGTGTTATGCTGTTCTACTGACCCGCTGTTGCGGTATCGAAGGCCCACCTCAACTCTCTTTCGCAATGATTGGGTTTAGAGTTCAAGGCCAGGCATAATGTACCTACAGGATACCCTCCCTGACTATCACCCTACTTACTAAGTCCACTGAGTGGGCAGGGCTCGGGTTTTGAAGTATTACTCCCATTACCCCATCTAACCCCTGCATACAGGAACCCTAGCTAGCTCCAATCCAGAGCCACATTCACCCCCAAAGTGGCGATGTCCCTAAAGCGGACCCTAAACCCTAATCCCTAAACCTTAAACCCTAATTGTAAAGCTCGAAGGTTCCGTTCTGTACCTCTCGCCCCGCAGGCACACGAGTCTATGGCCCGAGAAAAGGGCGCTTTCAGCAGTGCCGAGGCCTGGGGGTCAGGCCTTTCTCTTCTAGTTGTAGATTGGTAGCGGAGCGGCAGCGCTCCTAGGACCGTCTCGTAGTTTTGTCTAGTGCCTGCGGCTTGTTTTTTCTCATGTCGACCGGTGGTCCTTCAAGTCTCTACGAGGGGTACCCGAGACGTGGGGCTTCTCAACCTGGTGACGATTCCCCGCCCGAACATAGTGATGGCGCTGATGATGTACCTAGAGGTGATGGCGGACGCGTTCAGCCTCGTGACGATCACAATTGGACGGGCGCGAATCACGCAACGGGCGATTCATGGCAGCAGTGGAGTGATGGATGGCAGCCTCGCCGATGGGATCACTCATGGGGTGGCGACAGGTGGAGCTGGAACGATTCTGGGTGGGCCCAGAGTGGCGGCTTCTGGCCTGTCCGCGATAGGACCTGGGGCGACAACAAACAGTGGGGGTCGGACTCAACGGGGACCGGCTCAGCAGACGGAGGTCCAGATAGGGACTCCAAGGAATCCTCTGTGGACCAGTGGGCTCGACGAGTTTCTCTTGATGACTCAGGGGGCCTTCCAGATGGAACTTGGCCCGATGGATGGGGACCTTCGACAGAAGGCCAGGGACGAGCCGACCGTCCAAAGAGGGAGGAGGGCAGCCGAGGACCCTCAGAAAAGATGGTGGTCCCTACCTTCTCGGGGACGACGCCTGGCAATGGTGATGATCTGGGCACGTCCGCCCGCTCCTACCTGCGCCAGGTGGCAGCTTGGCGAAGGATGACCCGCATGAGCGAAGATCAGCAAGCTTTGACATTGTATCAAAACCTCACAGATCGTGCTTGGATCGACGCAGAACGTCTGGACATGGACAGGCTTGCGACCAAACAAGGCGTGGACTACCTCATCGAATGGGTGAAAGATCGGTACCTGGATGTGCAAGTCACGCAGATCGGGCGCAGCTTGTCTGGGTTCTTCCGAGGACTACATCGCAAAGCGCACCAAACGGTGCGCGACTACCTTGCAGATTTCGACTGTGCCCATGCAAGGTTGACTGAGGTCGGATGTGTCTTACCCGATGTGGCCGCGGCATGGGTGTTCGTGGACCGTATGGGCCTCGAAGAACAGGCTGAACTGAACCTCTTGGCATCGGTGGGCAACCAATACAGTCTTAAAGCTCTTCAACAAGCAGCCATAGTTCATGACAGGGGTCTCCGCAAACCATGGGAACAGCAACCTCGTAATCCCAAAAAGGAGTGGACGCCCCGAAAGCCCTACACCGCGAACCTCACTGGCATTGATGAAGGCGAAGAGCTTGGAGACGAAGGTGGCTTCGAGTCCAGCGACCAGGAGGACTGTGTCAGCGAGGAGGTGGCCCAGGACCTCTACCAGGCTTTCATGACTCACGAATCCGCGAAACAACGTTATCGTGAAAACGCTAAACTTCGAGGCAGCGACCCAGACAGCCTTAAGCAATTGGCCAGTGAAAAGCTGAAAGCCGCGAAAGCGAAGTCGTTCTGTGCAGGGTGCAAGAGGCGTGGGCATTGGCACAAGGACGCAATCTGCCCCCTCAATCGAGGAGGTTCTGAGGCTACCGGCGGCATGGCTGATCGCGACAAGGCGGGTGCTACCACGGCGGCGACTACGGCAACTACGGCGAGGACCCAGAGCGGCATGATGGTCAGCAGCCAGTTCCCGTGCCATGTCGTCCATGTGACGTGGGAGATTGAGGGCTACAAGAATAGGGACCTGTTGGCCATCACAGACACGGCGTGTTCGCGCTCCGTGGCCGGAGCGACATGGGTGGACACTTATTTGGCCGAGGCTCGCCGGCTTGGGTGTGATCCACAATTCACTTCGTGTCGAGAAGCATTCAAGTTCGGCGCGTCGAAGATCTTTGTTGCCAGTTATGGGATTATTCTCGGGTTTGAGATGGGTGGCTTCAAGGTGGCACTGAAGGTAGCGGTTGTGAATGGTGACGTCCCTTTGCTTGTTTCCAGAAGCGCACTTGGGAAGATGGGAATGCTCTTGGACGTGGCGGAGAACCGTGCTTCTTTTAAGGCTTTGGCGGTTGAGGACCTTCTGCTTGAGACCACGGAAACAGGTCACCCAGCTTTCCAGATCAAGCCATCGCCACTCCCCAAGGCTTTTGTGCAGGGTCCAAACTGGGACTCCGCGGAGATCAAGATCTTTTCGCAGGCTGAGCAATACATGGGTCCGCCGGGGGTCAAGGGTGTTCTTCATGGTGATGGCGATGCTGCTGGTGATGCCTCGTCGTCTTCGGGATCCGAGAGATGTATGACTAGCTGGATGGTGTCTGTACATGGTGACGAAGTGGGAGATGATGGAGTCCTACCTCATGGAGTGCCCCCTGGATGTAGCCAGCCATCTAGCTATGAGCCTATGTTCTACCCTAAGAAGATCGGCCCAGCTACCCGGAACATGTTGCTCGGTGTGAACTTCAATCCCGTAACCTTTGCTGCTTGGTGGGCTACAACTAACATTTCGAACGACTTCTGGATTGAGAATGAAGAGTGCTTGGTTCGTGTGCATGTCATCCCTCGAAGATCTTTCTTCAGCCCTTCTCATTGGCGCACTCAGAACACACCCCACAAGGAGAAGTTGCTTTCAGTCCTGGGTGCTGTGCGTACCATCAATGCAGTCTCGTGTAAGAGCCACAAGGAGTTTCCAGCTGTGCATGGTCTTTGGAGTGAGGTTCGTGATGAGTCTTCGTTTCCGGTACTTTGGATCGGGAGGAGCATTTTCCGTAGGAAGATTCCGATGTTTGAATCCTCAGCCCGATACTCCCCGCACAACGATGGCCAAGAGAACGGACCTCTACACGTTCCCTGTGGTGACGAGAGCCAAGACGCTGTCCGAGTTCAACAAGGCCGAGCTTCTGGAGGAGGCGAAGGCCAGGAACCTCTGGGTGAACGATCGTTGGACGACCGTGGAACTGCGGTCGGCGATCCAAGAAGATCGTCGCAATCCATCCCCCAACGACCCAGCAAATGCGACGAAGGGCATGGGGACGATGACCATCGACCAGCTCAAGACCCGTGCTATGGAACTGGGCTACCACATCCCCCCGTACGGCACCCGCGGCACGATCATGCGGATCTTGAGGGACCAAGGGGGAATGAACTCTCAGTCCATTCTGGGCTTCGGGAGGTTCGCTGGGAAGGCCTTCGAGGACACGCCAGTGAGCTACAGGACGTGGGCCTTGCGCGAGGTGGAGAACAACGACAACCCGTCCGAGGACCTCGTGATGTTCGCGAATTGGTGGCAGGGACAGCTCCACAAGTGGAACAACAAGGTGCCGGAGAAGTCCCCGATGGACCGGTTCGACGCGGAGACGTGCGCGACGATTCCCTATGTGGAGGACGCGAGCTCAACGGCATCCTGGGATGTACTCCATCGAGAATCGCTGGCGGCGCCGATGACGCCCCAGCCCAAGGCCAAGACCGGGGGCTATCCGGTGCAAGCACCCCGAACACCCCCCACGAGACGTTCGGCCGAGGAACCAGCGATGCCATGGAACAGGAGACCCCACCGGAGGTCGACGAGGAGGTCCGCTTCCTGGAGGAGAGGCTGGCGTTGCTCAAGGATCAACACGGCATTCCGCCGGGGAGGTGATTGAGGACTACAGCGAGGACATTGGAGATGGAGTGCCTAACCACGGGGTGTCCTACTACATCGAGGACAACAACGAGGAGACCGACACCGACGATGAGGGCAACTACGACGATTACCTCGACCACCTTGGCTTCGATGATGCGGCGGTGTCCTACGTGACTGAGGAGGAGCACAATGGAGCTAGTATAAACCTTGGAGGCAGTGGGGACGTAGTCCAACGTGAGACCCCCGGGGTACGAGATCGTCGTAGGCGAGTTGAAGTTTGTGAAGCAAAGGCGAAAGCGAAGCTTGAGAAGGAGGAGTACGCCTTCGAGGACCTCTTGGACATCGCGAAGCTTCTTCCTCTACGGAAACTTCGGAAAGGAAAGGCGCTCTGCCGAAGTGGAGGCCACAGCTTCGAGTACTTCTTGGGCGGCATGTACACTCATGGCAACATGAAAGGTCTTTCAAAACAGAGTGGCGAGATGCCGTGGGTAGTGAAGTACATGAACTCCTTCATGAAGGCCCAAGGATATGGGCAGTGGAGCTCCTTTGTCCTTTTTAAGAATGCGGCAACGAGTGTTCACGCAGATTCACACAATTTGGCCGGAACGACGATCAAGACTGTTTCTTTTGGGCCCTTCACCGGTGGCGAACTTTGGATGAGCGACTTCGATCGAGACCCGGACATCCCGGGCACAGTGTGGAGGAAGGACGCCGCCGGGAATGAGATCCCGGGCTACCTCGTGGACACCAGACACCAGGTTTACGCCTTCGACGGGAAGGCCAAGCACGCAACTCAGCCTTGGTCTGGGGAGCGGTGGGCGCTCTCACTGTACACTACGAGGGGATACCAGGAGAGCACGGCCGCCCTCAGAGATCAACTTCGAGAACTTCGTTTTCCTCTACGTGGACTTCCTCTCCTTCCTGAAGTCCATGGACAAGCCCAAAGGAAGTTTGTACGACCCGTGAAGAGCATGCGCAAGAGTTTGTGGAAGAAGGCGAGCAGGCTGGCAGCCCTGACTACCTGGTGTGCCACGGCGGGGTTGTCCTGCACAGCTGAAGCTTTTCCTTTGACGAGGGGAAGAGAAGCCGTGGCTCTATACGAAATTGGTGGAGTGGAAAAGACCCTCGAGGTGACCAGTCTGGACTACCTTGTGGCAGAGCCGATCGACAACCTCTACATCCTCACGACCACGTCCGTCTCCGAGACCGTCCAAAGCACGATCCGTGAGTTCACCCCCGCGGTGGTTTGGGTTCACGGCGACAAGGCCATGGGCTACTTGGACGGCATCTACGACCACCTTTGCGAGCACGTCGACAAAGGACGACAACTAGCAGTCAAGGCACCACCTGGAGATCCTTGCTGGGAGTCTCCCGGGCTCAACAGGATCCTGAGGCGTTATGAGGGTGCGTGGCGTTACCGGGAACAAGAACCAGACGTCATCCGTGTGAACGACATCTTCTACTACCAGGACAACGCCACCGACGGCCACGCGATATCCCAGTTCGACGCCTACGTTGCCGACCATACGGCCGACGGAGCAGGAGAGGACAGTGAAGGTATACCTACGAAGATCGGAGCTGAAGCAATCTCCTTTGAGAAGGGCAAGAACCTGGCACCGGAGGTCAAGTCATCCCTCCGGAGACTCCACCAGAATCTTGGACACCCGTCCAACATCGACCTAGCACGCCATCTCCGACTGGCTGGGGCCGACCCCGTGGTGATTGATGCTTGCAAACGACTTCGTTGTCAAGTATGCCAGAGGAACAAGAGAGGCAGCGCCCCGAAGCCAGCCTCTTTGCCTACCCTGCTCGAGTTCAACCAGGTCGTTGCTGTGGACGCTTTTTACGTTTACGACTGCGAGGGCACCAAGGTCGAGCTGATGATGGCCATCGACGTTGGTACAGGCTTTGCACTTGCTGGAGAACTTCAGGGGCATTCAACCCTGACCATGGAGGCTACTTTCTGCTCACTATGGAGTAACACTTTTGGGGCTCCCGGCACGTTGGTGGTGGATCTGGAGTCAGGTCTACAAGCAGGCTTGGGACGCTACAGCGAATGGCATGGCACCTTCATCCGTCCTATTGCGGGACAGGCCCATTGGCAGAACGGCACAGTCGAAAGAGCGACTCGGACCTGGAAGGAAGTTTGGGTGAAACTTGTGGACGAGAGGTCGGCTAATGCCGACGAAGCAAACATGGTGATCACTGCGGTCAACAGCGCGATGAATACCCTGCGGCGTGAATCGGGATTCAGCCCGTCCCAGGCTGTATGGGGAAGAGATCCGAAACTCCCTGAGGATGTTCACCACTCCTTCCAGGACGACCACGTGGAGCACATTATCAGCCGCGACCGCCAACGAGCCCGTGAGCATACATTGCGGATAGCAGCCAAGGAGTGCTATTATAGATGCCGGAACGATGCGAAGCTACGGAAGGGGCTACTTCAACGATCACGAGTCGCCGGACCCGACCTTCAAGTGGGGTGTCACGTGTTCTTCTACCGGAAGCCCAAGAACAACAAGAACTGGGTTTGGCATGGACCGGGTATCATCATTGGACAAGAGGGGCCCAATCACTGGGTTTCTTTCTCGGGGAGATGCCACCTGGTCGCTCCGGAACACCTGAGGATGGCAAGCGGAGAGGAACTTGGAGCAGCCTTTGCTCTAAGGGCCACAAAGGAGGACCTCGAGAGACTTCTGGATCAGGACTTCGGTGAGGAAGTTCTTTTCGAGGACGACGGCAACGAGATGGAGGTGGACCCAGAACTACCCCCTGGTGATGATCAAGATCTTCCTGACGGAGATGGTCGTGCCGAAGCAAGCAGAAGGAAGCCAGAGGCTGCATCGTCCGCCCCTGTGCCAAAGCGGTACAGGACCAAGGGCCCCCAGGAGCTGGAGTCCCACGACCCCACGCACGACACCTATATGATGAAGATGGCGAAGACTCCGCGAGGCCGCGAAAAGGCTTTGGAAAAAGAAATCCCATGGTCTATGGTGCCGCCAGAGCAACAAGAGAACTTCAAGCAGGCCGAGCTGAAGCAGTACTCTGAACATATAGAACACAACGCCCTTGAGCCGCTGTCCGTCGAGCTCAGCAGGAAGGTGATGAGGGAACAACCCGACCGCGTGCTCAACAGCCGTTTCGCTTATCGTGATAAGCATTGGTCACGTAGGCGTCAGGAACCCGACCTCAACTGGAAGGCCAAAGCGAGACTGGTGATTGCAGGTCATCGTGATCCTGACCTCTTGTCAGGACTCCCGACACATGCGCCTACGATCTCCCGTCAGGGGATACATCTTCTACTACAAGTTCTCGCTTCAAACCTACGACGCGGGTGGAAAGGATTCGCCGGCGATGTCACCGCCGCCTTCCTGTGTGGAGAAGACCTACAGCGTGAGCTTTACCTCAAGCAGCCGAAAACAGGACTGGGTGATCTTCACCCAGAACAGCTCCTGCGAATTCGCAAGCCTATCTTCGGGCTTGTGGATTCACCGGCAGCTTGGTGGACCAAGCTGCACAAGACCCTCAAGAAGATGAAGGTGAAGAATGACGATGGCGAGTGGATTGTGGTCCAGAACACGCTGGACCATTGCATCTTCATGGTCCAGAAGGTCGAGGGCTACGATGAGGAGGGACAACCTCGACTTGGAGCCCCAGAAGCCTACTTGGGAGTGCACGTGGACGATGTCCTCTTGGTGGGCGATGGCGACCTCTGCGACCTCTTGAAGCGGCAGCTCAGTTCTGAGTTTCCTATCCAGGAGTGGGAAGAGGGGAAGTTCGAGTACGTCGGATCCTACATCGAGGTCATGAAGGACAGAGTGAAAGTGTCGCAGGCGAGCTACGCAGCAACCCGGCTCTTCCAGGTCGAGACCGACAGGAACAACCCCGATCACTTCGAGGCCAACGAGGTGGAAAAGCACGACAATCAGTCCCTCATCGGGGCGCTTTCTTGGATGGCAAGCCAAACGAGACCGGACCTACAGGTGGGTGTTTCGATGAGCCAACAGTGCCAGAAGTCACCGACGGTTGGTGACGTTAGATTCACGAACCAGCTCGCCCGCCGGGCGATGGACCATAAGGAGGAGGGGCTCACTTTCTTCCCCGTCGACTTTGACAAGGCAGTCCTTCTGTGCTACCACGACGCTGGATGGGCGAATGTGCCCCAGTCCGACGATGATCCCTACTACCGCCTGACTGATGGAGAGAACCTACAGGGCAAAATTCAAGACGGGCCTCTAGCCCGTAGGGAGGCCAAGATGAAGAAGGCGAACTCAACGATCGCCTCCCAGTTCGGTGGACTCTACATCCTGACGGATGAAGACGTGATCTATGGGAAAGAAGGCCACGGCAGCATCTTGGACTGGAAAAGCGGTGCATGCGAACGTGTGTGCCGATCCACGTTTGCGGCCGAAACCATGGCGTGCAGCACCGCAACCGAGACGGGTGAGTTCATCGCCAAGTTCCTCGAGACCGTCTTGACTGGCAAGCTCGCTCGTCATTCGACTCGTTTTGGTCTGAGGTTCCTCAGCGACTGTCGTAGCCTGTATGATCACCTCACCCGGGACGGAGTCCCGAGAGTGCCAACATGCAAAAGGTTGTCGATAGATTTAGCGGGGATCCGACAGGACCTCAAGAGCTGTGGGCGTATTGTTTGGGTACCCACAGGGGCCCAGCTCGCAGACATTTTGACGAAGCCGCTTCGGCCAGATGAATGGTGGGAGACGATCAAGTCCCCTTTGAAGCTGACTTTCAAAGAGAGCAGACAGAATTTTGTATAGAGATATTTGGAACCAGTGTAAAGCTCGAAGGTTCCGTTCTGTACCTCTCGCCCCGCAGGCACACGAGTCTATGGCCCGAGAAAAGGGCGCTTTCAGCAGTGCCGAGGCCTGGGGGTCAGGCCTTTCTCTTCTAGTTGTAGACTAATCCCTAGTCCCTAAACCCTAAGCCCGAAACCCGAAACCCGAAACCCCAAACCCTAGTCCCTAAACCCTAAACCCTAATCCCTAAACCTGATCCCAAAACCGGCCCTAAAGACGATCCCGGGGAGGGCGCTTGATGACGGCGATGACCTGCCCACCGTCGCAGAGGCCTCAGTGTTCGAAGCACTAACTTAAAGGAAACTGCAGGTGGTGAGTTTGGGGTTTAGGGGTTTAGAGTTTAAGGTTTTGGGGTTTTCGGGGTTTAGGGTATGTTAAAGGAAACTGCAGGTGGGGGCTTCTATAAGGTATATGGACCTTCTATAAGGCTCCTGTAAGGGTAACTACCCACCTGAAAACGTCCTAGAACAAGGTTCTCGTGTTTGGGGTTGCGGGTTTCGGGCTAAGGGCTTTGGAGCGAGGCTTTAAGGGGTTCTACTAGGCTTTAGAAATAAGGTTTAGGGTTTGGGCGTGTAGGTTTAGGGGGGTTAGGGTTTAGGCTTTAGGGTTAAGGGTTTGGGGTGCTGTTGCTGGTGAACAAGACAGCCTTATGCTGTTCTGGCCTTTCGGCCTTTGATGGGTGGTTAGGACAGGGTTTCGGCCTAGGAATCCCACCACCACCTCACACACACACACACGCTCGACGTGCATCGAGCCGATTGGCTTGTGGATATGAAAGAATACCCATTAAATCAGGAATAGACCTTAAATCATGATACTAAGGCCCTTATAATTTAAGGCCAAGTTCCACAATTAAGGGGTATTGGGTTCTCTGGGAATGAGGCTCTCGATGGCTGGGACACAGCACGAAGGCAGACGTTGCAGAAGAAACACAGACGGGAGCTTCAGAAGATCAGGGACCCCAATATAGAATCCCAACATAAACAATCCTTAGTAAGGACATTTAGGGTTTAGGGTTTCGGGTTTAGGGTCCCCAAATCAGGCAGTTTAGGGTTTCGGAAACTCCCACCTTGACGTGAAAGAAGGCTATTCGTGCAGCCAGGGTACCCATCTGCTCGAGTGTTTCAGAGCTGTCGCTCAGGAACTTGCCCTTCATGGCAAACACCTCGCCGGGGCTTCGACCGGGCTTAAGTTTAGGGTTTAGGGTTTAGGGCTTAAGCCCTACCCAAACACCCCAAAAACCCAGCAAACCGCACATTCCCAAAACCCAAAGCCCAAGACGATTGAGCGATTGAACTCCCAAACTCCTCAACCACTCGTCCCCTCTCTGCCCTGAAACTATTATTCATGAGGTTACTATAACCACAAAATAAGCCGGAAAGAGCCACCAAACCCCTCAACCCCTACCCAAAACCACAAGCCCCTTAAATCTTCAACCCCAAGCGTTAAGACTCAACCCTCAAGCCCAAAACGTCTCATCATAGCCCATCCTATGTTCCTAAACCCTAAACCCTAAAAACCCCAAACCTTCCACCACCATCGCTCTGGGCAGCCGGCGCAGACAGAGTTCCCATCTGAGAAGCCTGGCGGCGCCTTGGACAGTACCTGCCAAAATAAACAAATGCAAAGTAAGGTAGGGTTTAGGGTTTAGGGTTTAGGGGCCTCAATAGTTAGAATACGGTTTTGGGGTATATTGTACTATAACTATATAATAAGGAACCGCCCCCAAAGTTGTGTCGGTGGGGCTCAGGGTTTGGGGGTTCTTCTGCACCAAGGAATCCGCTTACTATGTGCGCTGTACCCTACAGTTTGGGCTTGGGGCTTAAACTTTAGGGTTAAGGTTTAAAGTTTAGGGTTTAGGGTTCAGGGTTTAGGGTTTTGGGTTTGGGATTTCGGTGTTCGAGTATACCAGGGGTGCCTCACAGTACTAGGATCCTACTATCTGGTGCACCTTAGAGTTTGGAATTGGGTGGTAGGGTTTGGAGTTTAGGGTTTGGGGTTTAGGTTGTTTAGGTTAGGGTTTGCGGTTTCTGGTGGGCGTTTAGTTGGGGTGCACGGCGTAGGGTCTAGGGGCTGCGGTTCAGGGTGTAGATACATCCTTCATTCTCTCTGCCTTAAATCAAAAGGGATGTAAGCAGGAATGGTTACATGCATATCTTCTACAAGCAAGTCTGTGTGCAGATCGACAGCTAGACGGACCCGCAGGCCAGCATCGCCTAAACCGGGCCTAAACCCTAAACCCTAAACCCCCCTAAACCCCTAAACCCTAAACCCTAGACCCTAAACCCTAAACCCTTTAAGCCCTAAAGTAGGGGCCTCTGGACCCCAGGTCGATATACATCTTTTCACATGTTCAAGCGGCTCAGGTCTTTTGGCCCTAGACCAGACTCATCAGAACCTCAACAGCCCTATACTAACCCCTTGTGGCATCCCTTATGGCTTATAGCATCCTTTGCGTGATCCCTTGTGGCACCTTAACATCCAAAACCCTAAACACTAAGCCCTAAACCCTAAACCCGAAGCCCTGAACCCTAAACCCTTCACATGCCTCCTTTTTGAACCCGCGCTTGCACGGTGAGCCCTCCGACTCTCGCTGAAGGGGGGACCTCTGACGGTGCCTCTTTGGGCACTGCTAGGATTAGGGTGTATAGCTCTAAGGTATAGGGTTTCGGGTCTAGGGGTTTCCCGAAACCCTAAACCCAGCGCCCCTGAATTGAATCCCCAAGATGCCTACAATAAAACGCTGATCCCCAAAAAAGGAACCCCTGTCCAAGAACCCTCATGTGGTTCCCTGTTGGGGGTTTAGGGGTTTAGGGGTTTAGGGGTTTAGGGGTTTAAGGGTTTAAGGGTTTAGGGGTTTAGGGCTATATTAATATTGAAAATGGCCAGTTCTAATCCTTATTGGGCTTGATTACAACAAACTTGTACAAAATCGTAGCCGACAGGGGCCCAGTCATGAAAGGCCCCCCTCAAATCCTTCGGGGCAGCTCGAGGAGACTCCCCAGTGCTACTACCCTGCCTAAACCCTAAACCCTAAACCCTAAACCCTAAACCCTTACCCCCTAAACCCTAAACCCTAAACCTAAACCCTAAACCCTAAACAATAAACCCTAAACCCTAAGCCCTACCCTGCAC